AAGTGTGCAGTAAACTAAAGCTGTTAATACAAAATCCAAATGTCTTCTTGTCAATAAAGTCTATTTCTTCCTTGCTTACTTTTTGATATATGCCACAGATTTAGTTATCCCATCAACAGCATAATCCTGTATATATGCTGTGGGATTTGGTGAGGGCAGAGGCATGTCAAAACTCCCCCCTCCCCATGGCAAAATGTCCAAGGATAACTCTGGTTCTGTTAATACTTTGGTTTACTGGGGGATTTCCTTGTTAGGAATTAACACCATTTAAACCCAAGAGGGCTCACTGGCCTTATCAGGAGAGAAACATACACAATGCTTTGGGTCAGTCTAGGGCAGAGAGTGATGTTCCCCTCATGATCTTCCAGCTCCCAGAGGGGTTGAGGGCCTGTCTTCCCACTTTCCCTGCCGTTCCTTTCTCACCTGTGCAGAGAAACCCTCCTCTTGGCTCTGCAGCAGCTCTGGTGCTTGTTTCAGAAATCTCTCTGGGTGGAAAGCTGCCCTGACTCAGCAGTTGCCTTCCTGTGAGGCCAGAACCCGCTCCTGCAGCCCAGAGTCCTGTGCCTCTTCCCCAGCCTGGAGACACCAAACCAGTCCCAGCATTTGCCTCCTCACCTTCTGTGGCCAGCAGCCGTGCCGCTGGCCTGCTTTTCCCCATGCCTCTCATCCTGTTCTTTTCCCCATTCTTCCCTTACGCCTCTCTCTCCTCCACCAAGCCTTCTCCTGGCCTCTCTATATCCTCCTTCCCCTGCACCGTCCTTTCCATGCTCTCTCCCAGGTGTTCCTCACTGAGTTCAATCTGCACTGCAGCGAGGCATCAGCTTGTGCAGGCTGCAGCCAACACACCTCCCTCTGAAGCCTCTCCCTGGGAGAGGAGACTCCTCCATCTCGTCTGTGTTGCTTGCTTTTCCCTTATTTGCTCGCTGGATGCCGAGTGGGAGGTGGCGAGCCCCAGTGACCTCTCCTATATGCATGCAGAAGTAAGCCCAAGGGTTCAAGGGGGCTTACCTACAAGTACGTGTGCACAGGACTGGAGACTAGGGGTGCGATCCTGTGCATGTTTAGACAGAAGACAAGTTCTACAACTTCCAGCATGCTTTGGCCAGCAGATTGGAAAAGGTGAAGCCATGTGATGATATTCAGCAAGTGGATCACCACCAGCACAAAGTGCAAACTTAGCAAGAAGGCTCTTCACTGGATACGTCTAGTGATTCAGGCAGCTATTCCGATCGCCAGCAGCTACTTCTCTCAAATAAGATCCTGCAGGCTCTGTGCTGCTGGCAGAGCACCAGCGGGCTAGCTTGGGTCACAAGCCAAGGAGAGACAACAATGCACACAGGGAATCATAAAAAATCATTGCAAACACAATGCAAGCGAAAGCATCAGGATGCCTGCCAAGTCAGGATGGAAGAGTTCTCCAAATGGACTGTGCTTGCTCCCTGGGTAGCTGTGTGGTCTCCCTTTCACTGCCTAGGGCTCAGGATTGTAGCCACCCTTGGCCTGTTGCCCTTTGGGCTGCTTCGAGAACATTGTATTCCAAAGCTTCCAGGCAGCAGGGGTGAGGGCGATTATGCCATTTCAATACATAGCCAAAAGACCAGAGGCTGAGCTTGTGTCCACTGTGAGTTTCTGACAATCTGAAGTACAGTCCGGTTCTGCACATGTACAAAAGCTGTAAGCTATGCATCATCCTGACTGACTGCAAATGTGTGTCATCATTCGCCCACCTTGTCTCCTGAGCAGTTTTTCTAGATATTGAAAAATATTGTTTGTGTTAAAAAAAATAAAAAAAGGTTGAGTAGGTGCCAGTTTAAAAATGTGTAAATAACCCACCAAAAGCACTGGGAGAGAGGTAAAACAGACTGTAGAATCTATATTTGATTCACGGGTCAGTGCATCTGTGAAACACATGTGAAGGAAGTAGCAAGTTCATGCTTCAGGATTGAAAACTGCAGCAAATTCTGTATATATGTTAAAAAGGTAAAGGTTTCCCCATGACATTAAAGTCCAGTCATGCCTGACTCTAGGGGGCAGTGCTCATCTCCATTTCCTAGCCGAGGGAGCCAGCGCTTGTCCGCAGACAGTCTCCATGGTCATGTGACCGGCATGACTAAACATCGAAGTGCATGGAATGGTGTTACCTTCCCACCGAAGTGGTTCCTTTTCATCTACTTGCATCGGCATGCTTTCGAACTGCAAGGTTGGCAGGAGCTGGGACGGAGCAACGGGAACTCACCCCGTTGTGCAGATTCGAACCAGTGACCTTTCAATCAACCAGCCCAGCAGCTCGGCAGTTTAGCCTTCCCCTAAAAATTATTCTTTCCAGTGAAAGGAAAATTTGCTGCAAAGGGTTCCCTTGTTCCTTCACTTGTGTATCCTGTTTGTTATCCTGCTCAAATTTAAAGCAAAATTCCTGGAAACCTATTTTATTCTCCAAATTCTTATAATGTATGCTGGGTTGCTTTGTCTTAGCTCTTGGTAAGATGTACCTATCTGAACTTAATAAGCTTGGGTTTTAAGAGAGTCAGAGATTTTCCTGTACAAAGTCCACAGCTGCCCCAAGACTGGAGAGAAAAAGCTCAAAGAATAAATTGTCTTGCCATCAAAACAGATCTTAGGTAGCTTGCAACCATGCTCTTGTCATAGGGAGGGCAGAGGGTGTGTCAAACTGGATAAAGTTTCTTTCCTCTGGTCTCAATCTCTTCTGTAAAAGACACCAGAAAAGTCTGGAGCACTAACAAAAACCAGAAAAGTGAGCAGGAACCCCAGCTCTCCGAAGGCTAAAGGAAGAAGTGACCCCGCTCAAAGCTTCCAGTTCCTGTTCTGGTACTGGACCCCAACAGAACTGGAAGATGATCATGCTGGGGTTTTGGACTAATTTTTTACCCCAGGAGGAAGGTGAGCTAGACATTTAGTCTGGAGCAGGATAAGAAGAGAGGAGACTGGATTGTCAGAAGAACTAATTGCTGATTTTTCTTTTATGGTCTCTGACAAGAACAGTCCGGGAAGTACTGTAAAAATAAGGTGTTTTAATAAATAAAAGCAAGATACAGGCAGAGAAGCTTGGAAAATAATTCTAGGCAAGTTGTTTTGTTTACTTTTCTTTACAACTTTCTTTATTTTTGAGTTAGAGATGGGATTTCAGCTGCCTTGCACATGGAGAATTAATATGGAAAGTTAGGCTTTACTATATTCATAAACACATTTTTATATTGCCTTTCAGCTCTAAAAAAGGATCCAAGGTGGTTTATATAAGTAAATATGAACAAGCTTTGTGCGCCAGCTTCACCTTCACCACAACTCCTATCTTGGTGTACCATGATAAGCCAGGAAATCTTCTCTTAATCCCAGCTTCCTGGCATATCTGAACTGGGAAACTATGGATAGCAGGTTTAGAACAAGCCATGATCATAAACCAACTCCAAGTCATGGTTTATGATCCAGGCTTGTTACTAAGCTAATAACCACCACAGCGGTTTAGTTTAGCTATAACAGGAAACAGTGGTAAGATGAAGGCTTTGGGGGTAAATTATGGTACACTGAGAAGTTCAGAGGGAAGGACAGCACAGGCAAGCACAAAACCTGTATGATCTCATGCTATTAACATATCTCGTAAGATATGTTACGTCCAAACTAGATCTTACTATATTTCTCCTGTCCTTATTTTTACTGTGATATTTTATGTACATGTTCCCAGACCTCTATGGTGGTGGCTGTACTGAAAAGGATCTATTTATTATACTTCTTTCTAAGTTTTGTGTTGAAAAGCTCCTCTTTATTCCACTGACACTCCTAATTCAATCACAGGTCAGGTCAATGCTTGCTTAGCTTTAGCAATGGTAAGGGATCATGTGCTCCCAGACCAACCAATGAGTATTCCAGGGCATTCACAAAGATGACTACTGCCCTTGCTATTATTGGCTCCCATTTCCTCCAAATTTCCCATAAGCAGAATAAATAAGCAAATATGCATGTTTCAAAAGAGTACTTGCCACTTAAAAATATGTTGCACACTGAGCTCTCCTTGGGATTGTGTGTGTCAAGGAGCAGATGTTTTTGCTTAGCAAAAACTCTTTGCATTTAAGCTTGCAAGTATTCAAACAAATCTATTTGAAAAAGGAAATGATGCTATTTGAATCTGTTCGAAGTGTTTAAGTATTTTTCCTCCAGATTTTCTGTGTTTAAACTTTCCCTGATTTGGAAAACGACTCAAAATAATGTCAAATCAATGCCTTGAAAATGAGACCAAAGTTACAAAATGGCCCTCCCTTACAAAGTGTGTACACTTTCTTTCAGAGTTAAGAAATAAACAGGAAAAATGTAGAAGAATCCTGCTGGTGATTTTTTAAACTTTTCTTGTAGCTGAGCTATCTTTAAACTACTTTTCTTTTTCTTTTTGTTCTTTGTGTTCCCAGATGAGGCTAATAGCAGCTTTAGAATTGGGTGGGGAAGGCAGGGGGAAGGCAACTTTCTTGGCGCATGAAAATATTTGGCAACCTGGGAAACTGTCCCGGGCACAACCACAAAATGGCTGCCCTGGGAGGCAGGGCTATGAACAAGGTGGAGGTTGGGTTTCAGGCCTAACACACCAAAATATCCTTTGGAACCCACATTGTTCACCTCTGATGGACACCGACTTCACAGAAATCTTGGCTGCTATAAAAATGAGCTTTTTAATTTAAAGTGGGTAGGGTAGGACAACTTGTTAGGCACCCATAATGGTATCTGGAGGTACCAATACTAGGTTGCCTGGGTTCAACAGGCACTATTTTGACTACACCTGGGAGTAGGGGTTGGATTTCCACTAGAACATTATGCAAGAAAATCACAAGCTCTTCCCACTGAGTTTTGGAATGTGCATGCACAGCTTTCTAGCTAATAATGCGGTGAATGAAGAAATCCTTGCATGCGCAGAAAAAAAATAGACCAAGGAAAATGGAAATGGAGTAAAGCTAATATGTTATCTGACACCAAATAGTTTTTAACATTCATGATCTTACCTACAATCTCATTCTCTTCAAGATTGATTGTTTCAAGAGCCTGCAAAGAGGTCAGCTGCTCCGGAAAGTGCCGAAATTTGTTCCTGGAAAGGTTGATGACTCTCAAATGTAAAAGGGTTTGGATCTCTTCTGGCAGGCGGTGAATATAATTTCCTTCCAGATTAAGTTCTGCAATTGCATGGGAAGAGAAATCATGAAAAACCCGGCCAATTCAGAAAACCATCCAGGCAAACCAAACTTTGTTTCAGGAAATGTCCCCTTTACTAATGGCAATAAATAAATAAATAAAACAGATAAAAGCAGGCTTTGCAGGAGAAACAGGGTCAGTAATTGCTAGCTTCTTCCAAGCAAAATTAGTGCACTTGAAGTCAACCTCTACAATCCAACTCACTGCCCTTTTTCCCCTCAATAGAAAGAAGAGCACAGCATCCTGGAACCAACTCTGCTGGCTAGCACTGATGGGTGTTAAGAGTACAATAATACCTAGAGGTCTGTAAGCTCCCCTGCCCAGATCCCTTTGCCAGGATAGATCACAGAATTATAGAAAAGTAGAGTTGGAAGTTAGTATATTCCTGGGCTCCAAGATCACCGCAGACGGGGACTGCAGCCAAGAAATTAAAAGACGCTTGCTCCTTGGGAGGAAAGCTATGGCAAATCTAGACAGCATACTAAAAAGCAGAGACATCACCCTGCCAACAAAAGTATGTATAATCAAGGCTATGGTTTTCCCAGTTGCAATGTATGGCTGTGAAAGTTGGACCATAAGGAAGGCTGAGTGCCAAAAAATTGAGGCCTTTGAATTGTGGTGCTGTAGAAGACTCATGCAAATCCCTTGGACTGCAAGGAGATCAAACCAGTCAGTCCTAGAGAAGATCAACCCTGATTTCTCTTTAGAAGGCCAGATACTGAAGATGAAACTCAAATGCTTTGGCCACCTAATGAGAAGGAAGGACTCCCTGGAGAAGAGCCTAACGCTGGGAACAATTGACAGCAAAAGAAGAAGGGGACGGCAGAGGATGAGGGGGCTAGATGGAGTAACTGAAGCAGTCGGCGTGCGCTTAAGTGGACTCTGGGCGATGGTGGAGGACAGGAAGGCCTGGAGGAATGTTGTCCATGGGGTCGCGATGGATCGGACACAACTTCACGACTAGCAGCAACAATAAAGGGTTGGAAGGGGCTAGAAGGCCATGGGTCCAACTCTGTGTTTCATGCAGGACTCCATCCCTCCCAGATGGCTGTCCAGTTGCATCTTGAATGCCTCTAGTTGGGAGAGCCCACAGCCTTCCCAGGTCATTGGTTCCATTGCTGTACTGCTCTAACAATCAGGAATTTTTCCTGATCTCTAGCTGGAATCTAGCTTGGTGTAACCTGAGCCCATTATTCAAGAAGATATCCTGATCTTCCTCTTTGTGTTAGCCTTTTCAAGTTCTAGTGGAAAGCTATCATATCTCCCCCCAAACTACTCTTACCAAGGCTAAATATGTCCAGTTCTTTCAATCTGTCCTCAGAGGGACTTGTTCCAGTCCCTGGATCATCTGTGTTGCCCTCCTCTGAAACTTTTTCAGCTTAATACCCTTTCCAGGTCATTTTGCAGAATTAAACCCATAACAACAGATCAAAATAGAGAATCATGTACCTTCTAGACAGTCATACTTCACTGAAATTCAATAGGATTTGAGTCATGACTAATTGAGTTTGCATTGGATTCAGTGGGTCAGTTCTAAGTATGACTAAAGTCTGCCTTCAATTCACTGATATCAAGCAATAAATACAAGATAACAGAGCAATATTTATAATGCCAAGGAGAACAAAACAGGTCTTTGCCTGTTTCTTAAAAGCCACAGCTAAAATGCTGAGCAAGTCTCCTGTCTCTTCTGTCAAAATACCCTCAACCAATACACATGCATATTGAAGGTGGCCTTGAAGAAGAACCTTGGCTACTAATCACAGAGCAGGGGTATCAGTTTTTGGGTCCTGAAGGTTGTATGCAGTGCCAGCTGATAAGTTAGAAACACAGAAGGGGCCTCTTGGGCCATCTTCTGACCCCCGGTTCCAGCTGGCTCTGCTTATGACATGCCTACCACATGTCCAGCCTATCTTTGAACACCCTTTAGAAACATAGAAAAGTTGTGGGCTACAGTTGCACATGCAGAGATCAGGATTTTTTAAAAAAGAGGTTGAAGCCTCTTCTCTCCACCCCCAGCAAATCAGAGGAGAGTTGCTGCTTCCCTGTCACCATTAGCAGCTTGGAAGCAGCAATCCCAGCTGCTTTAGAGTAACCTGGATTGCCGCAATGGACCAGTGGTCCTTCCCGTGTGGTCCTGCTGAGCAGCTGAGTTGTGGGGGAAAGTGGGTGGGGCTCCCCTGATTGCTACCCACCGTGGAGCAGTCCATTCGATGCTTGGTCTCAAACCATTTGGGATTTTTAAAGGGGTCGCACAGCAGCACGTTAGGCACAGAACTGAACAAGCAGCCCAAGAAACGTCTTCAGTACATGGTCTGAAGGAGCTCTCCCAGTCATCACCCTAGCCCATGGATTTTCCATTCACCAAGCTTCAGAACCATCTTCAAAGGCAGGCTGGCAGTCAAGTTTTTGAACTGAACAAGGCACTGAATCAGTGGTGGGCTCAAACTGAAAATTGTGTTACTAACACATTATTTTAAAGTAAAAGTTTGATGAGCAAGAAATAAACAATGTCAGTGTGTACCTGTGCTATGATAAGGTTTCAGAATTCTTTATGCCATATGGAATACAAATGTTTCACTTTGTTTTAGGGTGACTTTGTGACGAACAGAGGGAAAGAGACATGCTCAAATGCATGTCTGAAATTAATTAGGGACTGCTGTGCAGCTGAGAACCCTTAGAATCCCTGTCCATTTCCAAAACTTCCTAGAGCAAAAGTTTGATATTTTGATGGGTAACTTGGCTCTTCATTCAATACTCTCTCTAATGAGAACTCTGCCAAAATCTCTGCAGGCTGATTTAAAGAAAAGATACGCGCTTGCGATGCTTCAAGCATTCATTATTAGGCACCACTTTGAAGAAAAGTACCAAGGCTCACCATCTGGAATGAAGTGTGCCCACCCGCTGTGCGCAGAGCAATCCATTCCAATGGCACAGTCTGTGCAGCAGATCTAAAGGGGTGGGGGGCAGGGCGCTTCCAGCTTTTTTTCATTCATTCATTCAAGCAAGCAAGCAAGCAAATGCAGTGTTGGGAGGAACCTTCATATCGCACAGTTCATGGCAAAGGTATAAATCAGGGGTCTCAAACTCGCGGCCCGCGGGCCAATTGCGGCCCGTGGGATGATATTTTGTGGCCCCCACTTGATATCAAAGTTTAGTGGTAGTGCGGCCTGCGTGTTTTTCTCACACGCACCTGCGTGAGTCGTCACCCTGGGCGCAATGTTCCCTCTAAGCTGCGCGCCAGGACGGGGGGGGGGGGATGGGGGGGGGGCCCTGCGGCCTTCAAAGTGCCGGCGGCACCCGGGCCGGCCTCCAGGAGCCATGTGGGATAAGCGGCCCACCACCACCACTTGATGCGGCCCAGCCTCACCCAGACTCTACTTCCAGCGGCCCGCAGGTAAGTTGAGTTTGAGACGCCTGGTATAAATACTTCACTTGCTGCAAACATTTTCATATGAGGGCATTACCCTTTTTAAGTGCAAGAGGAAAACAGTTCTTTCAAATATAGGAGCAACTGAAATGCTTCTTGCCACACTGTATTTTATTTTATAAAATATTTATTTGTTTGTTTGTTTAGTAAACTTCTATGCTGCCCCATTCACCGAAGCCTCGGGGCGGCTCACAGACATAAATAAACTTCGTTAAAATAATATAAATTAACAGTATAAATTAAGTCGCCCTGGCCAAAGAATAAAATAAATAAATACTATTAACAGTTAAAATGACATTTGAATAAAAAGGTCTTTGCCTGGCGCCGAAAAACAAATAACAACGGCGCCAGGCGGACCTCTCTGGGGAGCACATTCCATAGATTGGGCGCCACCGCAGAGAAAGCCCTCCTCCGAGTACCTACCCTCCTAATTTTCTTCACGGAGGGTTCCCGGAGAAGGGCCTCTCCCGCTGATCTCAGGGGGCGGGCGGGCATATATGGACGTAAGCGCTCCTTCAGGTAACCAGGACCCAAGCTGTTTAGGGCTTTATAGGTCATCACCAACACCTTGAATTTGGCCCGGACTTCAATGGGAAGCCAGTGAAGCTGATGGAGGACTGGAGTCATGTGAACATAACGCCCAGTCCCCGTCAGCAGCCTGGCAGCTCTATTTTGAACCAATTGAAGTATCCGGACCGTCTCCAAGGGTAGCCCCACGTAGAGCACATTACAGAAGTCAAAGCGGGAAGTCACCAACGTGTGTGTCACTGTCGCCAGGCAGTCATACTCCAGGTAGGGGCGCAGCTGATGGATCAGCCGAAGCTGAAGGAAAGCGCTCCTCGCCACCGCTGTCACCTGAGCTTCCAGTGAAAGCTCTGGGTCGAGGAGCACTCCCAAGCTGCGAACCTTGTCCCTAAGAGGGAGTGCAACCCCATTCAGGACTAGGTTCAATTCACCCTCACCAAAGCCCGATCTGCCAACCAACAGGACCTCCGTCTTGTCTGGATTGAGCTTCAGTTTATTGGCCCACATCCAGCCCATTACCTCGGCCAGGCACCAGTTCAGCACAGCCACTGCCTCACCTGGATTGGTGGAAAATGAGAGGCAGAGCTGGGTATCATCAGCATACTGATGATTCCGCAGCCCACACCTCCTGATGACCTCTCCCAGCGGTTTCATGTAGATGTTAAATAGCAAAGGGGACGAAATGGATCCCTGCGGTACTCCATGGCATAGCTGCCATGGTGCAGAGCCATAGTCCCCCAGCACCACCTTCTGGAATCGGTCATTGAGATAGGAGCGGAACCACTGCAAAGGGTGAAACCAGATCTTTCTTAGGGCCAGGGTGGACCAGGCCTTGTACCACTCGAAAAATACTGCTTTCCTCGATATTTGAAGTGGCTTACCTAGCAATACAAGTCCAATAAAAATGCAAACAATACCAAACACTCCACAAAGCTATATAGCTACAGAGATTACTTTTCCACAGGGTCGTATGACTGTCGCTAAATCCTTTATTTTCTAAAAGATTTGTTTTCTATTTACCAAATTCAA